TACTCCTCTCGACCAATGAAAAAGTATTACTTTGTTGAAAGTATTATTAATTAGGCAATGAGAAATCCACAGTGTAATTGAGAAGAAAAATAGACAYGAAAAATTCCTCTGACTGCCAACAGCCTAGTGCATATAAAACGTCCTATTGTATATAGAAAGAAACAAACATCAGATACCTTTTTCCGGATAAGAAAATATTTTGTTTCCTCCTTTAATGGGCGCTTTCCATTTCTCAGAACTGGCTGGCCAGACCCAGAAAAAAATGTCATGATATATATCATTCTTATTTACTTAGGAAATTCAAATTTTCAAATTCTATCCATTATTCTATAGAAAACCTCGAAATGACTGAAAAGCTTTGACAAAAAGCATTATATATACCTCTAAATAAAGCGGACTGGCCGTCCAGTTCTGCCTAAATAGAAAACACCCTATGTCTACTTTGACGCTTTCGCCCTACCYTCCTCCCCTWGTCAAGGCAAGGAAGTCGTAAAAAGTGATCGGAATTACCTTGAGGGGGCAGTACTCATACCCTTGCTTTGGTACGAGTTGAGCCCGCAGCATCCAGTGGTCACCGGCGTTCAACTCACACCTTCTGGTTTCTCGTTGTATTGGTCCCAAGTTGTAAGACACACATTTGGTTTCCAGGAAACATTCACGCTGGCAGTCAGTCAATCCTGGAGCTAAGATTGTCAAAGATTTGATCACCAGACCGGTGAATGTTTCGTTGGTATGACATTTGAGATAAACAAGGTCTCTACAGCCACCGTCACCTGGAGGAAACAATACAGTTAACTCTCTTTAACGACCATCATAGTAAGCGACCATCTCCCGTAAGCGACCACCTTTTAAATTTCCCGTTTTGTTTAGTTTCCCATATAAATTCTGTAAAAAAAACCTCTCGTAAGCGACCATCTCTCGTAAGCGACCACTTTTTCCTGATCCTGAGGTAGTCGCTTAAGAGAGAGTTGACTGTGTATACACAAGGGTGATTGAAATGTTCAAAAATACAAGAACTGAAAAAAACGCAAAACAAAACAAAAACAAAAACAAAAAGAAAGAAAACAAACAAACAAACGGCAAAAAACAAGCAAAACATAAACGAAACATAAACAAAAAACATCAAAGTGTTATTAATTCTTGCCCTTCCAGATGTAATTGAAAGCCAYGATTACGATTGTGATTGACAGCGACTGCTTAGAAGTCATTTGCATAAGGCTTAGGCGACATTCCAGTATAAACTTTCCACTTCGTTCTATACCTTGAWTTTTTTAATCTAAAAACACACTTTTTACATGTTTTTACCTTAAGCTACTTAACTATGTGACAATAGACATTTTGTGCGWAGTACCAATATCCCAATTATGAACAGGTGTCTCAGGGTCCGTGCAGAATATCAAAAACTAAAATTGTATTTTCAAGGAACATCACGCTAATTGTACATTCTTACCTCACAACTTCAGCCGAACGGAATAATTCAGAGATCGCTAGCGCTTCGTGATCTTTTTCAAGGAGTTTTCAAGGACTTTTCGAAATTTTCAAAAGTTTCAAGGAGTTTCAAGAGCCCTTGAAAACGAGTTTCAATTCAAGCACTCTTCAAGGATTTAGGACCTGCACGGACCCTGGTGTCTACTCCTAAGTGTCTTTGTTTTTTCTAGTTTTCGCTGTTTTTTTGCTTCATTTTTACTATATTTTTGACTTGATAAAGATTTAGAYTAAATTCTCGGTAAGTACCCACTTGAAATACTGAATATAGTAATATTTCATAATTTGATGAAACCATATGAAACCATAGTTAGTAGAGGGATGCTAACTATGGTGAAACCCGCGAATCCCTACTTTAACTTCAMTTGTTTTCTTAGGCCGTTTTACACTTTTGCAGCGATCATTTTCGCGCGATCATCGACTGACGTTTGTGAATGACGTTTGTGCTTGAAATTTAGCTGCAACTTTACGGCAATTATCGATCACCGCAACAACCGCAGGGCTGTTTACACAATTTCAGTTGCGCGATAGCAAATTGGCGATTATCGCTAGACAATCTGAAAAATCGCAAGTGTATATAAACAGGCCTTTAAATTTCCGTCTTCATGATACGTACAAAAAATTGTTGAAAACTAATCGTGAAAAAACGCTGTTGTCCGTTGAAGTATTAGAATAATATGAGTTCAAATCAACCACTTCGTATGCCCATATTTCTATATTATTATTAATCCATTAATAACTTCCATTGCAAACAAAGATGTTTGAATACATACCTTTGAKTTTTGGAAAAACGGAGGTYAAATACASCAGAAAAAGGCTGCAGATTTCAAGCTTCATGTCATAGATTATTGAAAGTTTATTAAAMRCACCTGSAGYCGTAAACTTTAAACGCCTATTTAAAGCCTTTSCRCATCAAATTATCACAYGGCCATTATTGATGTGTTATTGCTTAAAGATAATTGTTCTCGTCAAAATTTTAATGAAACTCTCAGTTGTTGGCATTGAGAGTCTTTCAAAACGACAATGTCAGGGGGTTTTCTGATTACAAATAATATCCAATCTCGAGCCMAGTGTCTTCYCMATTAAATGCCAGCGTTATGCTGGCGGAAAAACKTACGCATTGACTTCCGCTGGTTAGAAAATGTGCGKCCTCTGTGGATAAGAYTGAATGGTATCCCAAATATACACCTTTATCTGGAGGACAAAAGAAGAGAGTTTTKCCCTGTTTGGAACTAGAATCCATTATTTTGACRTTTGTCCTCACGTTAGGGSTACATTCCCATTAACTCCAAGAGTCTATATCAATCTATTTCCAATCCCTCGCTGCTACCCCTGACATAACGATATGCTACWCGGTCACCATAACTTTTCTATTTTTTAGCTTTTTAGGCCATGAGACGGTATTCTTGGGAGTTTATTTCAAGTATACAAATGCGTCAACAACGCTCGACTAGTYCTTTTCTATTTTYATAGTAGCCTCAGAAAACAAACAAAATCAGCAAGAAACAGCTGTGAAATAAAATTAATTTTAACACCGTAAAATTAGGTGAAATACATCTAACGTTTCGGACGTTAAACCTTCGGAGTAAATATTCAGTTTAGCAAAGACTTTTTATTCCCTAAGAATAATATCTAAATAATATGTGAAATGACTAAGAACGATTATACTCGGTTTATATTCCCATCCAGTGGGGGGGGGGGGGGGGGGTTAAAGGGTGCCCATGCCCCCCTTTCAAAGCCAAAAAAGCGTGAAAATCATAGACATCATATTGATGACGACACATTGACAATTTGTTATGTAAGGACCCCCAATGAAAATCCTGGATACGCCCATGCCATCCCATATTATGGTTAACTATGGAGTCTGAATGGYTATGTTTCTATCCACAAACCACATCTTTAGGTTTCATTCATGTTATACATACTGTCGCGGGCACACTATGACAATTGTCTAAACCTTATGGTTAGAGTTTGCTTGAATGAAAAGACACACAAACATTAAAAAACACATTGCAAGCCTGATTCGTTAAAGAAAGGAAATGGAAAGCCTCTTGGYGGGAAATCTTTCAAGCGAGAAAAACGCCGAGCTTATCCCAAATGTCTCGAGAAGGGCTCTTATGATATGTTCTCATGGTTACTACCTTAGGGTATTCGATGAAAAAGTCGATGGAACTACAGATATCAACGATAAAAACAGTAAGAAAATCTACTGGGAAATTTGCAACTGAAAAAGTCGCATAATCAAACAATTCTACAGTCAATCCCACTCATGCTGTTCAGTTGCAAAGTCATTTGAATATATCATATTTTGAATTTACTTGCAAGAATATTGAAAAAAGTGCGAAAAATTCTTTACAATGTCAATAATAGTTAAATTTTTATTTTTTTTTAAATTCGCTATATATTTAAATTTTAGAATTCAAATTCTTCCTTGGAATTCTAAAAAAAAGTTTTAAGCAAATGACTTTGTTGTTGTCTTTAAGTCTTTGCAAGTGAACAGCGTTGACTATTTTTCTTGACAGAATGGGATCTCTCGCGCTTACAACACCCGCTTTGTCATTTTTCGCAGCCTTCAAAGTACAAATAGTGCTGTTATCGAAAATTGTATACAAATTTTCGAACCGTATGTGGTATGCGCTTGTTGCTCATAAAACACCCATTACATTTCAGTTAAAAAATACTTTTTATGTATTGATTCACTTTTTTTATAATTTCAAAACCGTTTTGAATGAAGTCAACATGTGAATTGATATATACACGCCGTGTTCAAAAGTCAAGCGACCGCAATTAAAAGTTTGCGACCATACAACTGGACTGAAACGTCTATTTTTTGACCGCTCAAAGAGTTGCCGCTGAGTAGGGGAAAAAAGGTATTGCCCTCAGTTTTTTAATTGAATTTCTTTGTCTCTGGCAATAAAAATGATCTTTTGCAAGCTCTGGCAGATAAAAGTCTATTTTAGAAGACGCACATACAGCGGTCAACTCTCGCTATTACGGACACCCTCGGGACCGCAATTTAGTGTCCGCAGTAGCGAGAGTCCGTAGTAACGAGAGTTTATGCTTTCAGGCAATTCTTTGTATTTTTCGCCGGGGATTCAGTATTTACTGTCCGCAATATCGAGGTGTCCGTTGTAGCGGGGTGTTCGTAAGGCGAGAGTTGACTGTATCCGATTAAATTTTGATTATATGAAGCTATAGCCTTAATTAAATCCCAGCTTTCGCCAAAATGCATTTTCTTGTGCCAATGTTCACGCCGGMATTTTCCGTTAGATTTTTTTCTGGCCCGATTTTTTTCTGCCCCTTGATGATATGCCCATATTGAAGCAATTYCGTTCCATTTTGAAATTTCTTCAAACARACATCAMTGAAAACTKGTGTGGAAAAGTGGAAAATTCCGTATAGAATATGGGATTGCTGCAAACTGGATACTGAGTTGTGCTGTTTATGTYAAAAGATATTAAAAAGATGTTTATCCTGTTTTAGCCATACTTGAGATGCATTCAGTTGCAATTGGTGAAATAGCCATTCAAGGGGAGCAGTCAAAAAAATATCTCATGATGAATAACAAGGGAGATATTGAAACCACAGTAAGTTATAGATGAAACATTATCATTAAAGTGCCTATGACGCCTGACAAAAAAATTTCTGATTCTTAGTGAGCTGATTCTATATAAAATAAATAATTGAATGGTGAAATATTCCTGCATTTCAGTTTTGCGTCTTTGAGTTATGAGTTCCAATATGCTAATGATAATGACGTCAAAGAAGGCATCATTAGATATACGAATTTTGCAGTATTCGCTTAAAAATGGTTTCATGGCATTAAATTTATCGTATGCAATGTAGGGATAACCATATTACCAGATGGCGTTCATGAAAACATTTTTGAGCGACTGTTTCAAAGTTCGTATATCTAATGAAGCCTCCCCCTTGACGTCATTATCATTAGCATATTGGAAGATTAAACCTTCAAAACTCAAAAGACGCAACACTGAAATGCAGAAATATTTCACCATTCAATTATTTACTTTATATAAAATCAGCTCACAGAGAATCAGAACTTTTTAAAACAAAATTAGTAGGGGGACCCTACTTGAGGTTAAGGCATTCTGCTTTGCACGATTGTCATGCCAGACAATGACCAGATAATGCCCTTTGTCAATTAAGACACTCCATATAAAGGCCCTCTTGGTGCCTATTTTCAACCAGGTATACAGATTCTGGWATTACTGGGGCAAACACAAGTACAGCAGTAGCTAGTTCCCTACTATACTCTRGTAGAACTAAAAAATGAGAAGCTTTATTCATTGCCTCTGACTAAAATCACAACAGTTTATTGTCACAAAGTTCTAATTCCCAATATTCCACCGACAGGATCTGATAATATTAGCTATTAGTGATTTTTTTTTTAATATAGTACAAATAACACAATAGTTTACATGCACCATTTTAAGAGGAAAAAAAACTGGAGTGCACTTACCTTATTGTTAATGATTAATATTAACATCATTTACTTTCCTCTCAGTCATCATTATCACATGAATGTGTATTCAAGGAGAGACATCTGACTTCTGCTTACAATACATACGAATCCAAAGCCAATAATGGATGGTATCTAGGAATAACAAAGTATGGAACTATGAAGAAAGGCTTCAAAACAGCCTCAGACCAAAAAGCTGTGAAATTTCTTTCTGGAGATGTAAAGGGAATGTAAAAATAAACTAAAAGGTTAATGAGTTGAGAATAGCCTAGAGCATTTTGGGAAGAATTTAAACATTTATAAACCTATGAAATATCCTAAAAGGAATGATCAGAAGATATATATAAGTCATAAGATTTTTGTTTATATATTTAGATATTAGATACTAGATACTTAATTAAATTTACATTTGCAGCCAGTGGCTGAAGTGCAATAAACAAAATTACAATATTCAAAATATATATACAAAAGTATACTTATCCTTATGCACTAGTCAAAGTAAACCCCCTAGATTCAACATAAATGCTAATGAGTGGCGGCCATTTTGGTAAAAGTGAAACTTCAAACTCAGGACAAAGGAGCTATAATTGCCATTAAAAGCGACTGAAACATACCAACTTGTGATTCCTTTTTTTCTTTACGCATTAACTCAAATATCTAGCCACTACACACTTTTKACAGGACCAAAAGAYTTTAAGTACGATGGATACTTTGCGCCAAAAGCCYGCGCAAAAAATATAAATTCCTGGCCGGGAAGTACTGGAACTACTAGACCGCTGACCAAAAGGCGCGGGAAAATCAAAACATAAAAACATGGCCGAATCGTCTTCARTTGAACTCATCGAGTTTGTACGACCTTGTGGGAACGCAAATAACCTATACATTACCAATATAAGTAAAGATCTTAGTGAAGAAGAAGCTCAGGTGAGATTTCCATTATTTTTTAAATAAAAGCTTTGAAAAGGAAGAGAAGTACAAGCTTACTTGTCCGATATCTGATCTGACCATTTGACAAGATGGAGGATTTGCGCCTTGTAGCTTTTCGTCGTTATCTGTTCCAGTAAATGAAGAAATAATTAGGTTATTATGTATGTGATTTCAGTGTAAACTTTATAAGATATTTTCAAAGTTTGGCTTGCTGTATGAAGTWCAAGTTTTTGATTCCAAGGACCAAACAGCAGGTTTGTACAAACTCACTTAACCTTAAAAACAGGACTTCAAGTCCAGTGCTCACACACTTCTGCAATGTGATTATAGGCATATATATCAGGGTAKATTTAGAAATAATTAGCCAAGAGGTGTCATACATGTAAAAGGGAGTGGCCTACAGACACAGCCCTCCATACCCCCCTCAGGATACAATAAATRTGAGAAATGCCTAAGTATTCATTTATGTAACAGTACAGACACTGAATGTGTGCTATAATAAGCAGCCTAACCTTGGGATGGACAGGAAGACCAACAAAATTTTAGGCTTCAAAGGAGACCATAATGAGCACTTTGCCCGCCGACTATGTACTAACTGTATCAATTTCTTACAATCTCAAGCAATCTAACTCTTRTACTTAGAGGACAAGCAGACAACTAACGATCCCCGCAGTAGTCTGTATGCTTTTGTCAAGTATTATTCAGTCAAAGCCGCAGCCAAAGCTCTTCGAGAAACAAATACCAAATACTTGATTGGTGGTCAGTACCTTAAGGTTTGTGCATGTTCATTTTATTGATCAATCAACARACCAATAGGCGATTTGCATTACTGCATCATGCAWGTACGCTTCCTAATAACTACAACCATGAACTAGTCCTTATTGTTCACAGCAAAATCTATGTGATTTACATTCCACACAGGTACAGTATGCAAATCGCAAGAAATGCCTTGAAAAGCCAACTCCATTGTATATGGCAAGAAGTGTTGAGTTAGCAAATTATTACCTTGGGTTTAATGGCTGGTCAACCAGCATTACAAAAGTAAGTCTAGGYRTTGTATTAGGTTATAACTTTATATTATTTAAATAAAATGTTTGGCTTTTGTCTGTTTTCTCTTTATAGCTTCAAGGACAGTTTATGAATTTTGGCAATTTTGTATAATTGGGGGTGTTCARCAAWGCCATTTTGTACAACTAACCTTAATGGTACCAAATGGGACAACTTTSTCTAGTTTTGAAAAATAAAAGGATAAGCRGCTTGGGGCTGTTTTTGCAGACAKGAGAGTTTGAGGACTACAAACTCCCATCAAGATTTATTGTACAAAATGGTATCATTGGACATATGCCAATWACTTATCTTAACATCAAGGTGTCCAGTCATATTTGTCACGGATACCTTTGTAAGTTTGACATGATAATATGCAGCTATAATTTAAAAGTTATGCAACCCAAAATGTCAAATGGACAATGATTTAAAAATTGCTTAGTTGATAATAATTTAATGCCTTCTTTTACACTAATACAGTTGGAAAAGATTGACAACCAGATACACCTGAGCAAAGCCAGTGAAAATGCTATGTTTCRATGTATTGTTAAACTAGAGGTYAAGTCTCATGATTGCTATTGYGAGGGAACTGGATATGGTGGAGATCAAACCATATTTCGTCAAGGTATGGGAAATGATTACATGTTATCACAATCATATCTTTGAAATGCCACCATCACAATCTCATTACTGCTACCATTTAAAGTCTCCTTTCACAGTTTCATACATCTTCAATACCTCCACAGAAAAAGATCCATTGAAGAAGCTAGAGCTTATTGCCATTGCTAAAAAGATAGCACACAGACATGCTTTCGAGAATGCATTCCAGCGAGTCATTATAATTTTATTGGACAATGGMAAAGTTGCAGTTGAAATAAACCAAGCAGATTTTGCAGAAAACGAGTTAAAYARCATGTCAGAAGATGGAATTATAAAAGTGAATTACAGAGATGCAACATTAAGTGATGAGGAAATTGAAGATGATGATATCCTTGAAGCTCTGAATGCTATAAGTTGATAATGTTAAAGACCAAGTACTCATAAAACTGGACAAAACCTGGACAGACGCAGGTAAGCTACTCTACTCCGTGTACAAGGTAAAAGTATCACAGCATTTTGGGTATGGCAAAACGACATTGCTACCAGTCTTAGCCCCAGTACATGCAATGTGAAGAGGGTTTGCCAGGACCAATCATGTGCTACACCGAATGCACTGAGGGATATTGTGGACATTACTGAACACATGAAATATCAGGGTCAGTAAAGAGTATCAAAATGAAAAATTGTATTTTCAAGAAGCATCAAAATCATGCTAGATAATTGTACATTCTTACCTCAAAACTTCAGCCAAACAGAATAATTCAGACGTCGCTAGCTCTTTGTGATAGAGATCCATCTCTTTCAAGGACTTTTTCAAAGTTTTCAAATTTTCAAAGAGTTTGAAGTGCCCTTGAAAACGAGTTTTCAATTCAAGCACTTTTCAAGGATTTTTTAAAAGGACCTGCACGGACAGTGACCCTGTGGGATTAGCTTCTAGAGAAAACAAAAGAACTCCACCATGTTYTGTCACGAACAATATCCTACAYGTACAATGCATTGCGTATTATTAAGTACACGGTACCAGACATCATCTACATTCATGTCAAGGGAGATTGTTCAAGCTYGAGACTTGGTCACCAAATTTTKCCCAACTCCATCACTACAAACTTGAACAGTTCATAACCCTTCACATTTCTTGGATAAAACATTGCAATCTGAACTCGAGTGACAAGTGTAGCAAATGACGAGAGATGTCACACRTTGTTGGACATTTTTGTATCTGACATGCTACATATCAAAATCTTCAAAAACCTGTAGCAAAAATTTAAACTCTTTAGTACATGTAATACAAAAATTCACCATCATTTCTACACATTTGGTAAATTAGAGTAAGTAACAAGCCAAAGAAGTAGGTTTTATTTCACAATGTAATTACATGAAGTACTGGATGAGTATAGATTTATTGGTTGTTCTTTTTTTTTCAAATCGTGGAATAAATCATAGAAAAATATTACAAATGACACAATTGTTAGACTGATTCCACAAGTCGTTGTATTTGCTCCTCGATTTTTCCCCGTCTGGGAGCAAAAAAAAAAAGGGCGACCTGACAGACTGGTGGAATCAGTCTAACACAATTGTGCAATATTTACTGTACATTGTAGAACATCTTTTTTGTTGTCATCGAAGGGATTTTTAAACTATGCAAGTTTTTAAAACATGTTAACTTGAACAGTGGATTTCAAAATAAAATATCTAAAATGCAATTTTCAGATGCGAGCATATTTATTTTCCAGTTAATTTTGCATGTGCATTGGACAATTAGTGTTATGTTAYAGTGCTCATTAATATTAATTAGTTCACATTATTGCACATGCAAAATGAACTGAATTCAAACAAGATGAATGTAGTGCAAGAARTTCTGCCTTTAACCTTGCATGAATGCTACACAATGTTAGTAGTATTAGGATTACCATACATTCAAAGTGAAATGCTATTCTTCTTGCAGAACATACATCTTGAGAAAAGCTGCAATGCCCTAATACCTAAATGAGACTTGCTAGAAAATCCACCGACTAAACTGTACTTAATTTATCACTTTTCATAATTGAAGAAATCAACACAAGTTACATTCTGTAGTTAATGTAATTCTACAAATGCAGGGTCCTTTAGAGAAGTAGACTTCAGAATGGTCTTTGTACTTGATCTTCCTCTGTATGCAGACTCGTCCAGCTATGAAAAAGGAAAAATTAAAACTAATAAGTTAAATTACACTTTCAACAATAGTATTGTCATAGTGTCACTTGAGAAAGATTGAGTATCTCCATTGAATACTCCAGTTTCAATTCTCTTTTGTGCAAGCTTATCTTCAATCAAGCATAAATTTTTTTTGTCTCCCTTGTACACAGAGCTGTTTGAGTTTCAATAGTATCTCTGCTGAACAAAAGTATATATTACATCCTCTCGAGGTTAAGACTGCACAAATAAGATCTCGAAACTGGAGTATTCTCAAATTCTTTTTTTATCTAGATGCATGACCAAGATAAACAAATTTTAAGAACATTTGACATTTACTTAATACCAAGACCTTCAAGGAATGCATTCATACTCAGAACTGTGGGGTTGGAGATGCTTAAAAATTTGTTGGCATGAAAAGCATCCAGCTGAAGAAAAGGGGACAACATTGAAATGAGACAAACATTATTGCAAATGGGTATCTAATAGCATTTAATTTAGAAAATACCTTATTCTGTCAAACCAACCATGTTGAAATGGCGCCTTTTTCAACATAACTGGTTGAATGAAATATTGAAACATTGAACTTTTTTTACTGAACAGTTTTTACAGTAAAAAACTCTTGCATAAATAAAGTATATTTATTTATTTATTTATTTTTATTATTATTTTCAATAAATTAGCGTTTACTTAGCCTTTTGTTTGAAATTACTGTAGTAATGTAGTTCGGATTATGGCACTGCATTCACTCTGAACATAACTATGCTTGGAATGGATGCGATTATCTTTCACAAGTATATCACCATTATAGCAATCACTTCATGGGTTATTCATCTGAAATTGTTTGCAACATAAGTAAAGAGAATTCAAACTACATGTTTGCACTCTAATAATAATAAATAATACTAATCACTTATAACTTGATACTGTCCATCAACTCCAAGTAAAAATCACCTAGTAAAATAAACTGAAATATCATTTAGTAAACCTGTGGAAAAATTGCAAAATTTCAATATTGTGCATCAAATCAAACCTCTTTTGCATGACACACAACGACTATTTTGACATTTATCTAGTTAAATGTTCATGACATACAGTATGTGAACTCCCCTAGGGACTGTTACAGTAATACAGCTCAACTCTAAAACAAACTAATTAAAAGTTCAACTCTCAAACAGGCACTGCAGAGCTGGAAAAGAGTATTATAAACAATATTAGTAATATCATGTCTTTGAAATAATTAGAACATCTTGACAAGCTCCTAYACAGTTGATGGACATCCCTAAAAACCAAAAGAAAAGAAGTTAGACAATTCTTATAGTCCCAATTTACAGGTTGCATTCTTAAACTGATCAAATCAAAGCATTTGTAAAAATTCAGAAGACATTTAATTTTCATGCATGTTGATGTAATCAATTTTAGAAATGCAAAGTGCAAATGGATTGGAAGGGGGACTTAATATAAGATGACTGTGAAACAAATAGATTTTTGAAGTAAAAGTGAATGAATTCAAGTGAAGTTAGGAAACAACCTGGAAATATAATACAAAGTGAAGTGTCAGTCAATGAGTCAAGGTTAAGTAGCAATGAATTGCGAGCGTGCCCTTGTGCCGTATCCGGTCCAAAAATTTTCAATAGCCAAAATAGCCGAATCAATATTAAAATGAATAGTATTGATAATCAACATTTATAATATCTATACGTATACGATCGATAGGTAAACTATCCGGTCCAAAACTTTTCAGTAGCCAAAATAGCCGAATCAATATAATGAATAATATTGATAATACATTATAAATATCTATGTTGCACACACATTCACCCACATTGCCAGAAATACATGCACACCACTCGTATAGCTATGGTTTCACGTACACTTTTGCATACACACAACTACAATAACCATTAATTTTATGTATTTAACTCTATTAATGCAGCAGCACTTTAAGTATATATCTAAAGACGTTGGAGGTGGAGCATTAGCAAACAACCGGAAACGGATGCTTCGGAGGCCAGTTCATGTACCTTATGAATAAATATCATAATTATTATTACCTACATGCCTAACCCAAATATAATTAATTAATATTAATTTATTTATAAGGATATTATTAATTTATTTAGAGGGACTGAAAATAAAATAGATTGCCCCGTCATTTATAGATCACTGTTTGCATCAGTGTGATCATAACAGTGAAATAAATATGGAAACATTTTGAAAGAAATTGGATAAAAACAGAAGAACCAAAACCACATGCCTTTATAACTAAGGATAATTATAATTAATAATATATTAATAATAGTTTTAATAAATGACACATGCCTATAGACCTATAGCAGTTGAAAATCTCTGTTACATTGAACAAAATGGGAACTGGAAACATATGCGATACCTACATGGTGAATGAAATGAAAATGAAAAAAATGAGAAACACATGTCTAGACCTCATAGTTGATTAAACAAAATGAAATACGGAAGTCAGGAAAACATCCCCAGAAACATACTTAAAGACCTTGAGTAATATGAACTGAATGAAACGAAGGAACCGCATACACATGCCTATAGACCTATATTTAACTAGAAGGAAAGCAGAAACAGACCGATATATAAATTGAAAAAATGTAAAAAAAGGTCTCRTTCACAAAAAGGAAAATAGAAAAACCTTATTGTGTCGAAATGTATGTCAATAGAACCTAAATGTCACGAGATGCTGACCATGCGAGTCCGGCGAATAATGCAAGGAAGTAAACACAAGTCAAGAAGGATCTGGTCCTTCTCGTCCAACAAAAGTCAAGCGCAACCACTCATCTTTTGTTGATATCATGTTACAATATACAAGACAAAATAACAAAATAATATGAACATAATTAAACAGCCGTGAAATTGTATTTCTCTAATAAACTAAAGCTACCACATGAAAACTACTTGGATGCGGCTTGAAGCTCGTCGTTTCAACCTAGTTTGGTTGTTCTTGGAAGACCTGCATGCTGGGAGAAAAGTTTAAATGCCACGGCAGTCACATTAGGACATACTCGTGGCATTTACAGGGGGTCCATTAGTACATATTAAAGAACATCATAACTATTAGATAATATGAGGCCGTGAAATTGTCATTACTTGCTAAATTTGGACACATGAAATTAAGGTCACTCGCAAACACACAGTTTGCCAAGATGTGATGATCAAAAAGAGAATGGTAGGATGGAAGGGAAGGGAGTGGGAAGTCATGAATAGAATTTATAAAGTAACAAAGTAATGACATTAAAGATCATTCATGACCAGTGCATGTTCAGTATAAATTCCAAGATTCAATAATTTATTTACTAAGTACTCAAATCACATCTTAACTTCACTGTATGTCYACGTTATTGTTGTGGCAGACTGGTCAGCGCTAACCTTAAAGACCTATAAGCGTAAAAAAAAAATCTAAGCCTAAGAGTTTATGTGGTTTAAGTGTATGCGTTGTGTGCAAACTGCACCAGCCTGCATAAAAAAGTGACCATGAAATAACACAGCAAAGTTCAAGCAGTATTAATTATTTTTGTTGTATTTTATTTGCGTGTTCCATTGCTATTCCACAGTTCCAGAACTCCAATCCAGTTCCATGATTCCAGTGCTCTTTCACAAGTCCATATTGCTGTTTTTCAATGGCCCCCCGAAATTGGCCCTAGTGGTCCCCGAACCACATTACTTATGGTGGTAGCTTGTCTATAATCACATCCCTGGGTTTGTACTTGTAAAGTACAGAAACCCTCCTAACCTAACCTAATAATTTAGGTAATAAGCCTTTTTCACTTATGACTACTTTGTGAAAATAACACTGATCACAAAAACTTGCAAACATAATTTCATTCATCATAAGGAAAACGGCTCATTTTACAACCTAGGCGGGATGTATTGAAAAACTATGGCAAAAGAACACAACAAAAACCTCGAGGGATTTCAGCGACCCGCCAATAGTGATAAAAAATAATTGCTTTTTTGGTCCTCGAAATGTGTTGTGACACTCATTATAAACCTGTAAATCGACGTCTTCATCTGTGAACCTGCAAAAAAGGCAAAAAAACATTTGTGAGCTACATATAGGCTAACAAGAATTGCAAAAGCGCGCGAAAATTCACAAGATCGGGAGGCGCGCGAAACATTTTTACATAACATGTACATAAAGTAATTCTATTTTGTTGCAATTTTCAAAAGCTATTCTCCAAAGCCTACTGATAAAGCATACTTAAGACATTCTCCCAGAAAAAGAATAAAACTAAATTTTATTTCCAGTAATACAAAAACTTTCAAAGATGCCCAACAATTTGAAAATGCGGAGCACTGATTTTATTAATGTTGCAATTCCTAKAAAATGACGGTAAACCTGTAGCTAACTCTGGAATTTGGAATGGAGAATTTTGATATCTGTGACGAATGAAAAGCGCGTGTTTTGTAGAAATATTGTGTTAGAGCAACACGACAAACATGCTACCATCGTGCGGTTCACAATTTAAACGTTTTACATCCAATCTTTGACACAGATACGATACCTTACAATATATATCTGTTCAAAGTACAAGTACAAGAATACAGTACAAAAACTTAAAAAMGGAGCAATATTACACAGAATCACACAACATAACTACTCACCTTAGCATATAGTCGTAGAATGAAACGCGATGAAACTCAACTTGCTTTCGGATGGTATCCAAACGTCAATCAAACAGTTATTAGCCAATGATTGTCAGAGGGCGTTATCAGAGAGGTCGGTGTGATTGGATGGTTAAATGGAAGGGCGGAGAGTTGTTATAGGACGCGGGGAATTCTCACGTTGGTATGTGAACATGTTGGAATTTGCGAAAGAAATGAGAAAAAACAAACAAACAAACGGAAAATAAACAAATAATGAGGTTTTTACGCAAGGGCGGATCTAGGATTTTCTTAACACAAAACTTAGCGAATTAATTAGGAARCTAGCTAATTTACTTATTACTTTTCATTTTAGAAGATTTGTGCGAGAATTTAATTTTTTCCAAAAAGCCCCTCCCTTAAATCCGCCACTGTTACGGATTTAAGCAATGCTAGGCAAGGATAAAACAGTTTGCGGGCAAGCTCGTAATTCAACCAATCATAAGCGTGCCTTTGTATGGGTGACAGGAAAAAATGGGAAAAACCTGCACACTACACAAAAACCWATTTTTTTCAGTAAACATCATGGATGGCTTCTTACGTTTTGCTCCAGTGATACATACAGAGGTACAAACTTTGGCATATTTAACACTCACTTTCTCAGAAAGCCAAGTAATTTAAAGACAAAAAGTTTTTCAGCATTTTTAATAATTTCAATAATTGCATCTCATTCTTATCACATAAGTACAAGTTTGCAAAACATTTTCCACTCATTCGAACTGAAATCAAGAAAAAGACCTCTAAAATTATTCTACCAAATGTGGGAGTGTCTGACATAATTCTTGGACAATGAGTGATTGAAATAAAAGTTCATTTTAAAAGGTTTTGTTTACTTTCTTGTTGAGTACATATCCTTGTCTTCTGGATTTGACTGGCCAAGATCTCCAACAATCGCTTKCTTGCTATCTTTCTCAATTAAACTTGTCRATTTTACTGTTTCTGAATCAGYCTGAGTCSTCACGGCAACTGGTGCATCCTGCAATGCACTAGAATCTTCCGAGGATTTCCCTGAGAAGAACCATCCCAAAAATGGAATATACGATAAATAGGACCGATCGCTGTCCGAGTCAAGAGCAGTGKTGATTGTAGAAGAGCTTATGTCCTTGATTTCTTCAATGATTTCTACTTCAGGAGCGGGTTCTGGTTCAGCTTGTACAACAGGCTTTGCCTCTGGAGGTTCCTCTACGAATTCCTTGACTTCAGSCTCATTTACTTTAGGTTTTTCTTYGGTGGTTTGTGAGAGACGCTTCTGTTGCTGTTCATCATACATTGTTTTTAATTTGTAGAAGAGGACTTTAGATTGCTCAAAACCTTTCTGAGAAATGACCCAGGCCTTTTGTGGATAACAGGCAGAGAAGRCAATRGTACCAAGRCCAGCTGAGTAGAAAGATCTYCTGAATGGTCTTCCTGGATTTTGGAAAAACAGATATTCAATTGATTGATGAATCAATTGGGAGAAACTAGCGGCAAACTAGCGTCCTCTTTACATTGACGAAGGATTAAGGTAGAAACGTCAGTAAGTTGTTTCACCTACTTTTTCGCAGTGTTAAAATTTACCTTTTTACACAACTGATGAATTAATTAACTTCCATTCATTTAATTATCCATCTTTTCATTTATTCATCCATTAATAGTGGAATACTCACGTCCTCTACCAGCTGCTATTGCACCAACAAGAACACCTGAACTGATGACAGCCACTTTTATCTGGAAAGTCTGGTCAGTAGATATTAACTCCATAAATTCTACAAATCAAACAACAGATTTAGTATCATAATGMATGGCATATTGCAATCTAGTTGTGGAGCCACGGTACAATTCTGSTTTGTACATGAGGTCGCATGAAAAAAGTCRCATCATGTAAATTTGCATTATACATGTAGCTGTGGTTTTTAGATGCTTTCCTCTTACCTGATGTTTTTACTGTAGCTGTCTGAGCTAGGGACTGTCCTCTGCCAAAAACATCCTTTAAAGTAATAAAAGTTACATAAAAATCAAGCACACTAGGATATCAAATTGATCAGCTACATGTATCATACTGCGCAAATATAATACGGATAAAACATCTCCACATAAAAAATAAATAAATCAACCGACCAATTGACTGATCAACCAACCAATTAACCAACCAATCAACCAACCAATCAACCAACCAATCAACCAACCAACCAACCAACCAATCAACCAACCAATCAACCAACCAATCAACCAACCCCAACCAATCAATCAACCGACCAATTGATTGATCAACCAACCAATTAACCAACCAATCAACCAACCAATCAACCAACCAACCAACCAACCAATCAACCAACCAATCAACCAACCAACCCCAACCAACCAACCAACCAACCAACCAATCAACCAACCAACCAACCAACCAACCAAACAACCAATTTACAATTTATCCTAAAAACTAACCTTCATGCTTTTCCATAAACTCATGGCCTGCTTTCTCCCCCCTGAGACCTTCTTCTCAAACTCATTTGGTGGATCTTCCATTATAACTTCATGAACAAGAGTTGGTTTATCATAAATATCCAACTGTCATGGAAAGAGCAAAATTACTTGATATAAAAATACTTATAAAATTGGTCAGAATTCAGAATTTATCAGTGAATGCAAAGAAAAAACCATGTGAATACACTTTCTGACTCTCAGTTCAGTTGGGACAGGAAGCCCAAGGGTTTTCTTAAGAGGAAGCTGGCAAAAGGGTAGGTATTCTGCAAAGACACTTAATTTACTTATAGTTATGTAAAAAGATAAATTTAACACCGTAAAAAAGTATGTGGAAAAACTTACTGACGTTTCGGATGTTAATCCTTCGTCGGAGTAAAGATGTTAAGTTACTTATATTTGGTATGTCAATGAAGCTTTAGTAAATATACTATAGCTAATGGTACCAGAGAGATGGGCAAACAATGYTCCAGGGAAATACAATACTTTCCAGTTAGGATTGGTTATTGTTTTTCAGGAGTCTTTTCCTCGTTACTTTTAAATGTACTTAACTTATTGTTGGCTTACTCAACAAGAATGCATTGGCCATTTTTTAAATTTAATAATTTGAGAAAATATAGGTTTACAGCTCCACATTCTGACAGAAGTGATAATTGCATGCTGKATTTTTTGAAAACAACATAAAACACAATAGATTCTAAATGTGTTCATAAAGTTATGGGGTGAATTCCAAAATACTTAAGAGTTAAGTAAGCGAATTTTGTAAAAACGTATTTGGTTGTAAACTGCATGATGTAAGACTTACCTCAGATGGATGGACCTTTTCTGCAGCATATACGGTTGTAAAAAGTAATCCTGCAGCAGGTAGAGAACTGGCGGTTATTAGACGTACCTGCAAAATGCCCACATCAATGATTAAGTTATAAGCTTACTAAACCTACACCAAGGGTTGTGTGAAAAACTGTGAACACATCCATCAAAAATATCTTGAATTACTTTTGGAAAAAAGCGTGTATTTTAAACACGTGAGTTAAAAGTTCATTTATTTTCAAATTTCTTTAGATTTCAGTGAAAMTATTCTGAGAAAAGCAGTTGGAAACTCACCATCTTGGACGCCATGTTGTTCGCCATCTTGGATATATTCCAGTCTCTCGCGGGCAAATTCCAGCGGATTCAAACAATGCGGGCTCAGCTGATATATATGTAATTGTTTGAAATTGTTTTAAATGTATATGTACTTTTTTTATGATTTTATGGAAAATCCTTAGATTTCCGCTGAAGTGATTCAAATTCACAATGAACAAGGAGTCTAACTTACATAAACGAGAAAGTATGGGGGATCAAAATGGCGACATTGCCGGTCAATCAACTTCGGGTGACACGACAACACTGATCAACACCAATGTGGAAMAGTTGCCGTTTAACAAAACGTTTGTCTTACTTTGCACACATTTGAATGCAGCCCTATACTCTGTGTGTTTCTGGATACAGCTTGGAGTTTTGCCGGTAAATTYTTTTTTATGTGRTTSTAGTTGCTTGCGTAATTACGTAATCTTTTAGAGTGATTTTTATCAAATGAATATTTAAGTTACATCGGCGATTCAGCTGTTACAAGTCCAAAGACAGTTTTGAACTCCTGGTTTATTAAAAGAATGAAAAAATRTTTTAGATCATTTCAATGTATAAATTCTATCTGGCTCATATTAAAA